ACTGAGGAGAACGGGCAGAACCGCACCCAAACACAACACGACTAGTTCGATCGGTCGAAGACGTTGATGCTCTGTGGAGTTCTTCGACGAGGCGGAATAAATCACGTGATTTTCCGGTGCGCCCACATTGTACATTGTATAGTCCTCACCCTTGGACGATTCCATGCCCGGTGCGGCAGACCACAATGCGGACGATCCCGACTGAGCGGATTGTGTGGGATGTGAATGTGGACCGGTCTGTGCGTGTATTAGCTCTGGAAGGATATGTGATGCGGCCACATAGAGAAACGTGCCACCAGATAACAGTAGAGCAAAACCCGTCCGGCTTGAAACAGCCCCAGTCTAGTAATTGAATGGGGGTGACAGAAAGAAAGTAAAAGAACTGGAAAAATCCTATTTCTTCATTTCTCGCCCCAGCGATCACTGCAGAAAACTATTTGGCACAGGTGGAAAAAATGTCTTTGGAATTGGACGATTGCGGATTATTCGGCAACAAGAATATGATACGGATACTACATGAGAAAAATAGCTTACTGCACATATATATGTATGACCAGGTACTTTTGTCCAAACAACGAAACAACGGTCCAGTTTCAGTAGTAGTAGAAATCTCATGATCACACAGAACGAATCAGAGAACAATGGGAAATCAAGTTGACGGTTTCACTGGAAATTCTGGATGGCAAAATAACGTCCGGTGAGAACAAAGGGTGACCTAAGCCCCAGGGCCGAAGTGTTTCTCTTATGATCATGGTTTTCAAGCTAGGCATCGAATTCCCAACCACTCACCAACCTGAAACACATATCAATAAAGTGAACACATTTATCAGTGGCAAATAGATTGAGTCATATCGGTGAAAAAACGCTGTGCCTGTGTGTAGGACGTGTCGCACAATGTCCACATTCTGGCTTAGAAAGAAAAAAACATGGTGAAAACTCCGATGATGTCTTACTAACGGGGCAAGCACGCCATCAACACGGCAACAACCATTTACGCAGGTTGCTAGTATGACTTGGTAGTCATCATATGATTACAAAAAAAAAAGTGTTTGAACCAAAGAGCTTGTTTCACATTGTGCATGCCACACTTTTCATCACACCCCAGAAACAAACTACTCGAATTATATATATTTTACAATAAGTAGTATATAAATGTTGTTAAAATAGATCGTTGCCGTTGAAGAGAAACGATCTTACAGTTGCTACTGGTTTACGGGCTATCTTGATTCCCAACGGTCAGAGTATACTGCTTTACTTGACTGTGGCTGGCTCCTTGGAAAGGGTAGGCCGGCTCCAGAGATGCTCATGATGCTCATGATAAAGTTCCTTGGGAGTGTGGTACGAGAGACGTCCCCAGCGTCGATCGGCGTTTTTTCTCAGGGCGAACCTCTAGCCTTTGCACAACCAAGTACGAACTGTAAAGCTGCAGGAAGCATTCCTTAGCCTCGGAAGTGAAGGGGTCAATGACTTTAGTTTTAAAAAAGGCCAGTCACATCGACCTTTGTCACGACACCGTCATTGGGCTTATGCGGCTTTTGAACAGGGACCATGTGACCAGTCCGAAACTCACCACACCCTGGTAGTGCTACTGCTGTTTGTTCGTTGCGAGATGCCACAACTTATTCACAGCTAACCTCTTCTTCGGTGAAGCTATCCTCCTATCCTCAAACCGGGGATGCGCCTGGTAGTATTCAGCTCAGTTTAACCCTAGGGTATACGTTCGACGTTTTCTCCTAAAACCACTCTATATGAATTCCCCAAATTCCGCTTGAATTTGCTTCGACATTCCAATCTACATTTTGCTCTTTTATCCAAATGGACAACCAAAAGACAGCAACCAAAACCGGCGCACGAAAGTGCATGGTTATTGGTTGTAAAAACTGAAATGTGCCGCGTACGCGCGGTAACGTTATCCATATACATACATGATAAAAATTACGGTTAGCTTAAAATGCACACACTCGGATTGATGAGACGAGTTACAACAATCCGCTGAACTCAGTGTCTCCTAACTTTCAATCTGCAACCCTCAAAGTTGTTCAGCTGCTATTTTAACTCGGTTTCCCTGTGCCATGAGCTGTCACTGTTAGTTAGTCAATCTTTAGGAGAAATGAGAATTTGCGAGACACTCAACGACAGTGGGCAGGCAGTTAACCAAGTGAAATCACTTTTGGACGGTCGCGTCCCATCAGACCTCAACGCGAATACGCTTTCAGTGAAATCGAGTGGGAAATGCCTATTTGAAAGCATAGATTCCGGGGAAAAATGTGTTTTCTAACCGTCTTCACGACACTGCGAGTAACTATTGCCATAATAATGGACCGGGATGATGACGTTATCCAACTTCCTTCTTTTGTGTATTGTTTTTTTCTACCCCTAATACACCAGTTGATAATATATATATATATGTATATATTGTACCGACTTGCGAACAAGTATAGTGTCAACGCAACAACGATAACAGAAAACGGATGGGTCAGGATATAAAACAGTTTCAAACATTTTTCTTTCTCCGCACACTTTTTGATATTTTTGTGTGTTAGTTTATCGTTCTTTTATCGGGTATAACAGTGGCACCAATGACTTCTGTTCTGAGCCACATCTGCCAGTCACCCCAATCCAAGACAATCCTCATCCCTTGAGCCCTAACCTGGAAGATGGGCTGCAACAATCGAAGTCAAAGCTGAAACTAGCTTGCTCATACCTTTACGCTATGTTATGATCTGACCGCCATGGCGCTTCTTCTAGCCTTGCCCAGCACGGACAGCTGGAGAATGGGCAAACAAGTAAAACGGAAGCGATTTAGAGCGATTACTTCTGTTAGAGAGTGACTATCCACACACACACAACAAAAGACGACGAACCTTGTCATTGCTCACCTGATGTTCCCACCGGACACGAGCAATGCTTCGGTGGTCAAATACAGAAAGTCGATTTGCATCCTCCGCTCGGAGGGACCAGGTCTCACCACCGTAAAACAGAACACTAAGAATCGCGGTGATGCGCATTCTTCCTCTGAGGCACAGTCCGATGTCACGGTGGCACCACAGATGTTTCAGGTTGGCAAAAGCTACCCTAGCTTTCACTTTTCCCGATATGGTATCTTCCTCAACACCACTTCCAGTTCCTGGGGTTGGCATTTGCCAACTTGAGACATCTGTGCCGTTTTCGTGACATCCGACTTTCCGTTAAGGATTGACTATATGCAGCAGTTCGGCCAGTACTTCTATACGGCGCAGAAACTTGGCCAGTAGAAAAACAGAATAAAAGGCAGACTGTCGGTGTTTGAACACCGACAGTCTAAGCAGCATTACACGAATCTGGTGGGACAGCCGGACGAACAATGCTGAGGTCAAGTGCAAAGTTTTAGGCGACCGCAGTCGCCCACTGGAGCAAGTGGTCGGCCTCCATAGATTGCGTTGGTTGGGGTGTGTGTTACGCATGTCACGAGCGTAGTTTGACGAAGCAGGGAGTGGGTGAAATAAAGCCCAGGGCGATCACGCTAAGACCTGGAATGAGGGTATGAGATCCCTAACCAGGAGTCTGACTCATGTAGGTCCCGTTAGGCTCCTTGGATAGGGACCTCGAGATGATCGTACACGACGGTTAGAGACACGAAGTGATACGGCTGGGTGTCGCAAACAGTGGCGTTCGCGCATCTCCTCAAGTTCTTTGCAGCCACAGTTGACTGGAGTTCTCAATTTTCTGTTTGATCCTACTTTCAATCTTCCTGTCTTTTACCTTACTGTTCATCCAAATGGCAGCAACCAAAACCGGCGCGCGAAAACGCATGGTGAATGGTTGTTCAAACTGAAACTGTCACCGTGGTTCACGAATCAGCCACATTTCCTGTTACGCAAGTATGGGTCAAACACCGCACGGAGCGTAAACAGAGAACGCTGGAAAAGTTCTAAATGAAATCCCATAATAGATCAAAGTGTCCTGTTTTGCTTGTTTTGAGGCTGTACAGCTAAGATTTTAGACTGAGGGGACAGGGATATGTATATGCGGATGAGATACGAGTCCGAGAGACAGGCAACATAAGCGCAACTGATATCCGTAGTAGAAAAGCAGTCAACAGACTAACACCAGACAGACAACTAGATTTGAGACGATTTATTGTGTGCCTGTGCAGACAACGCTCCAATTCAAAGAGAGAGATTGAACCATACATGGCACCATAGAACGAGCAATGAAAGAGAATAGCATCGATTGTGGAAATGATTACTGCTATTTCATTGCATGTGTTGGTCCGGATAGAGATACGATACCGGAACAGGACATAATGAGTTATTCACAAGAGTGACCGGATCGATTCGAGATACATTTTATTAGATACTGACTGTGCGCGCGCCCCCACACATACAGACACACACACACACACACCGGCGAGGTCTCTATCGTCAAACTGCAACAGTGTTCGCACAGTGTACAGAGGAAGAATTGTTTTCATTGCTTCGTTTTCCTTGACTAATATCCATCACGACGAGACTGCACATTGATGTGGTGTGATGGCTAGCGTGCCCCCATGACCCAGCGAGCTATACAAGATGGCTCCTCAAAGTCGCAGATCCAAGCATGCCTGAAAAGTCAACAACGGGTAGAGACCAGACGAAGCTCAGTCTCACAAAGCCAGATGCTTGGGTACCCCTGGCTTCCTTTGTCTATTCACACCCGCCCCTGGAGAGGCCACTCCGGCAAATAAACACGGTGATGGAGCAGTTTACCGGTCAAAAAGCCCCCGCTAGATGGACGTAGGAACGGAGTAC